TTATCCTTAATAGAAGATATGGCCACATTAACTTCATTATCTCAGTCTGCAAATATGCCAGCTATTCAATCGAGGGAGCTTGAGTAAAAGCACAAAAAAGGTCTTGTATAGTCAGGATTTACAAATTATGCTTCTCTGTTTGGCAGACTGATGGGTGAGTTTACATTTGGCGGGTTAACAGGAGAACGTTACTTGTCTGACTGCATTGTGCCAACTGTACATTTTGGTGGAGGAGGATTAATGGTGTAGGGCTGTTTTAAACGGGTTGGGCTAGGCCCCTTGCTTCCAGTGAAGGGAAATCTTAATGCTTCAGCCTACCAAGACATTTTAGAGAATGTCATGCTTCCAACTTTGTTCGAACAGGTTGGGGAAGGCCCTTTTCTATTACAGCATGACTGTGACCCAGTGAACAAAGCAAGGTCCATAAAGACATGGCTCGATGAGTTTGGTGTGGAGGACCTGACTGGCCCGTACAGAGCCTTGATCTCAATCTCATTGAACTACCTTTGGGGTTAAATGGAAAGGAGATTGCATTCAGTCCTTCTCAGCCAACATCAGGGTCTGACCTCACAAATGTTCTGCTGGATGATTCTTGTGGGACGCCTTCCCAGAAAAGTGGAAGTTGTTATAGCTGCAATAGGGGGACCAACTGCATATTAATGTCTATGTATGTAGAATGCAATGTCATAAAAGTACCTGTTGGTGTAATGGTCAGGTGTCCCAATAATTTTGTCCATATAGTGTATATATTTATGTCTCTGTTTTATTAGCTAGCAACAGAAAAAAAATCAGACCTAATATTACAAAGGTAGCAGATGTTTCATTACTGGTGGCTAGTCTCAGAGCTTGGCGCTCCATTAAGAAATGTGTATGCTCAAATTGGATATATAAAAGTCAGCCATTAAAATCAAGTGCAGTAAAATACTTTATCTCCAGTATAATGCAAAAGATTTTCACAGCCAAAAGACATGGAATGTTTGCTGAGTAAAGAATTCATTAAGAATCACATGCTTTATGAGTTAACCTAATCATTTAAAAAAAATCAATAGCCATGATAAATCAATAGCTACTTTTTTATCTGGAGAACTGTGAAATTGAGTTTTAGAATCCTTCTCAAGCAGATTGTAATGGCAGGAATATTGGCAAATCGTTTATTTATTTATTTTAATTCTGCCTCCAACTCCTTAACATAATTGTAAGTATTTGTTTAAAAATTTCATCTTTATAAATGGACAGATTTACATTTGAAAAGAATGTATTTGTTAGAAGTTGAAAGACTGAACTAATGCAGCATCTGTTTTTGCATTCATTAGAACTGTAATAATTTGTCTTCATAAATAACATTATGGATAATATCCAACTAACATTGACCCGTGCCTAATTTGGGCACCTTTCATTTACTCCATGAGAGGGATGTTTAAAACAAATAAACATCACAATAATCAAATGACTGAGGATCTGCACACCATAGTCTTTAAGAAATTAAACTGAATACAGCAATTTTGCAAAGCAAAATAATGCACCAAATTAGAATAGTTGATGGATGTAGAAATGATAACCAGCATTCAATGTGTGCCAAAAATGAGATGTAATGTTTTATAATGGGGGCAGATGGTGATTTCTGCAGTTTAGGAACAGTCAAAAGAAGAGAAAAATGTATTTCCAAATTCATTCAAATATGAATGTGTTCAATAGTCTCATAGAATGGACGGTATTGTTCAATACAGTAGATGCGTTTGGCAATTTGCAAGAGATTGAGAACAGAATGCTGAAAGTGTAATGGCTTTTGTAGTTATACTATAAGGTGAAGGATACCAAGAGTTTTCCTAATACTAAAAGTAGATATCCTATTATTTTATGTGGATTTAATATGCTTTTCTTTTGGATCATGTTTAGACTGGCTGACAAAGCATCTTGGGAGTTTTAGACCAAGTCTCATTATTCAGTTTGCTAATAGCCCTTAAAAATGTGTGATACTTTTATTTTTTATTTGTAACACTTTTATTTAGGGTTATTCACAAAAACGAGAATTGTCATTAAATTCATGTTCAATGGAAGATTATAATTTAAGGCCAAATGAACCGAACAAGAAACATAGATGAGAATTTTTTAAGTTCAGCTAATTTGACCTTAAATTAGAAATTAATTTTGAATTCACTTTGAATTTTGACAGTTCTCACGTTAGTAAATAACCCTGATTGTGTATTACTGCAGCAATTACCTGACGGGAAGTCAACTCAAGTGTCCATTGGTTGTACCACAATATATCTGGTGGTTTCCGTTGTTAAGTTATAAATGCTAAATCCAGTGGTTGATCATAGCTGTAAAGTTAAGCAATCCACTTCAGTGCTGTAAGATAGCAAAGAATAGACTCTAGAAGGGCAAACTCTACCTTTTGTAGACAAACAATTGTTTTAAATTCTTATTAAGCTTAAAAAACTCTGTGTCAAAGAGCTGGTTTTCTAGTGATATAATGCACAAACGTATCTGAAATAATTTATAATGTAATGGCATAATTCTTATCAGAGCTAAGACTCTAGTTATATAATGCTCTATAGTTAGTCCCCACTTGCAAGTCTCATCAGAGGTTAAGCTACATTGTGCCATTACACAGAGAACACTTCTCTTTAGCATGTAAGTAATTCCCAAACATAAGGGTTTTCCAGAACCCAAATGTCAGGCAAGATCCCTCTTTTTGAGGAATCTATTACTCCAAGACAATTATCTTATAACTCATGGAAATCTTTGTTGATTTGCATTAGTCATTATATCATTAGACCAAAGGCTCTCTGGAACATATTTCTCCTTATTCTAGTATAGAACACATCATCAGGACAAATTATTTCTTTCTACAACTAGACTCTATGATCCCAGAATCCAAGGTTCTTATTATAAATTCAATATATTGCTTCAATTTGAGTACGTAATAATCAGAGTCTATAGGAACCCAAGATTCTGAGATTGTAAATCTAGTTGTAGAAAGAAATTTGATATTCTGATGATGTGAGCTATACTAAAATCTATAGAGAAATGTTCCATAGAGCTGTCTGGCCTAATGATATAATCTCAATAAAGATTGCAATCGGTTAGTAAAATATGTAATTGTGGGCAAAATATGCAAGCACGTATCAGTGACGTGTGGATTCTCTTCTTGGCAGATGAGCATAATCTGGTTATTTTGTATAAACATGATGTTTATTAACTCACTGACCAAACTTTATAACATTGATTCTCACTTATTTTTACCTAGTTGCAGTGTTTCCTTTGGTCAATAATGACTATATAGTCAATAGAAACACACTGCTGATTGTGAGGAGACAATTCTGCCCATCCGGTCTTGTATTACTGATGTGTTTCCCAGGATAGTCTTATGCATATCCCACATATATTAGTTTTAGTTCAATATTAGCCTTTTATGCACCAGAATGCTATTCCAGGAAACTTGGCACTTATTCTTTAAAATGTTATTTTGTCACTTTACTCAAACTTTAAATAATCAACCAAATTACACAATTTTTCTGTAAAGCATACATATATATATATATGTTATGGTGGGGAAAAAATTGAAAACCCCTTCCACCTGAAGTCTGTGTGCAGATTTTGGTTTAACGATGTATTAACTATCCACAGACTTCGGGTGGAAGGGGTTTTCAATCACAATTTTTCCCCACCATAACCTATTTGGATTTTGCTTCCCAAGCACTACCAAGCCTCAATAAGCAAACCAGTAACCAACCTCATGCTGATGAGTTGCATTAGCAACGAAACAGCTGTCCACGAGTGGTTCATTGGTTTTGCATCTTTTCCTAAATTGTGTTCCAAGCAGTTGTATACTGCAAACAGAGATTAAAAGGAATCCATGTTTAAAATAGAATGAGGCAAAAATGTGATTCTTTGTTAAACTAATTTGCATATGCCCACCCAGAATCAATTGCGGTTGTAACATCACTGCAGATTTGGGATTTCTGTGGGAAAAGCAAGTCTTATGGCTTGGCTGGTGTGCAGATTTTTGTTTAACTTTGTATTAACTATGTATAGTTAATACAAAATTACAATATACAGTCAGGTCCATAAATATTGGTACATCGACACAATTCTTATCTTTTTGGCTGTATGCACCAACACAATGGGTTTGAAATGAAACAAGCAAGACGTGCTTTAACTGCAGACTTTCAGCTTTAATTTGAGGGTATTTACATCCAAATCAGGTGAACGGTGTAGGAATTAAAACAGTTTGTATATGTGCCTCCCACTTTTCAAGGGACCAATTGGCTGCTCAGCTGTTCCATGGCCAGATGTGTGTTATTCCCTCATTATCCCATTTACAAGGAGCAGATAAAAGGTCCAGAGTTCATTTCAAGTGTGCTATTTGCATTTGGAATCTGTTGCTGTCAACTCTCAATATGAGATCCAAAGAGCTGTCACTATAGGTGAAGCAAGCCATCATTAGTCTGAAAAAACAAAACAAACCCATCAGAGAGATAGCAAAAACATTAGGTGTGGCCAAATCAACTGTTTGGAATATCCTTAAAAAGAAAGAACGCACCAGTGAGCTCAGCAACACCAAAAGACCCGGAAGACCACGGAAAACAACTGTGGTGGATGACCGAAGAATTCTTTCCCTGGTGAGGAAAACACCCTTCACAACAGTTGGCCAGATCCAGGAGGTAGGTGTATGTGTGTCAAAGTCAACAATCAAGAGAAGACTTCACCAGAGTGAATACAGAGGGTTCACCACAAGATGTAAACCATTGGTGAGCCTCAAAAACAGGAAGGCCAGATTAGAGTTTGCCAAACAACATCTAAAAAAGCCTTCACAGTTCTGGAACAACATCCTATGGACAGATGAGACCAGGATCAACTTGTACCAGAGTAAGAAGAGAAGAGTATGGAGAAGGAAAGGAACTGCTCATGATCCAAAGCATACCACCTCATCAGTGAAGCATGGTGGTGGTAGTGTCATGGCATGGGCATGTATGGCTGCCAATGGAATGGGTTCTCTTGTATTTATTGATGATGTGACTGCTGACAAAAGCAACAGGATGAATTCTGAAGTGTTTCGGGCAATATTATCTGCTCATATTCAGCCAAATGCTTCAGAACTCATTGGACGGCGCTTCACAATGCAGATGGACAAAGACCCGAAGCATACTGCAACAGCAACCAAAGAGATTTTTAAGGGAAAGAAGTGGAATGTTATGCAATGGCCAAGTCAATCACCTGACCTGAATCCGATTGAGCATGCATTTCACTTAATGAAGACAAAAAACTGAAGGGAAAATGCCCCAAGAACAAACAGGAACTGAAGACAGTTGCAGTAGAGGCAGGGCAGAGCATCACCAGGGATGAAACCCAGCTTCTGGTGATGTCTTTGCGTTCCAGACTTCAGGCTGTAATTGACTGCAAAGGATTTGCAACCATTTATTAAAAAGTGAAAGTTTGATTTATGACTGTTAATCTGTCCCATTACTTTTGGTCCCTTAAAAAGTGGGAGGCACATATACAAACAGTTGTAATTCCTACACCGTTCACCTGATTTGGATGTAAATACCCTCAAATTAAATCTGAAAGTCTGCAGTTAAAGCACATCTTGTTTGTTTCATTTCAAACCTATTGTGTTGGTGTATAGAGCCAAAAAGATTAGAATTGTGTCAATGTCCCAATATTTATGGACCAGACTGTATATATATATATATTTGTATATATATATATATATATATATATATATATATAGTTAATACAACGTTAAACAAAAATCTGCACACCAGCCAAGCCATAAGACTTGCTTTTCCCACAGAAATCCCAAATCTGCAGTGATGTTACAACCGCAAAGGATTCTGGGTGGAAATTAGTTTAACAAAGAATCACATTTTTGCCTCATTCCATTTTAAACATTGATTCCTTTTAATCTGTGTTTGCAGTATACAACTGCTTGTAACACAATTTAGGAAAAGATGCAAAACCAGTGAACCACTCATGGACAGCTGTTTCGTTGTTAATGCAACTCATCAGCATGAGGTTGGTTACTGGTTTGCTTATTGAGGCTTGGTAGTGCTTGGGAAGCAAAATCCAAATAGGTTATGGTGGGGAAAAATTGTGATTGAAAACCCCTTCCACCCAAAATCTGTGGATAGTTAATAACTATTTATTTTAATTGTTTAATTCTTTAATGTAATTGAAACTTTCTAATATATGTCCCCTTCTAATATGTAAAGCAGCTTAACTCATTGTCTGTGCTAACTAGATTTTTGTAAGTTTCTCTTAATGGTTATTTAAGTCCCCAATGAACTAGACGGACTACCACTACATATTAACTACGTAATTACTTATCTAAACATGCCTTTAGAGAATACACTCAGGGATCAATGCTTTTTTTCTTGCAATGTAACAATGAAGAATACTCTATTTCAGACACAAAAAGTGGGAAGTGCAGTCCTAGGTATATTATATGACTCTGTCTTTTCTAATGCAGAGGATCATCAGAAAAAAGATGAGGGGGGAAATAGGTCTCTGATAGCAGGAGATGAAATTCAGATGGCGTAGAACCATTTAACACCGTATGCCCTATTGCTATAGAGTCCTTATGAAAAGATTCACAGATGCGGAAAGCGACAAAAAAAAAAAAAATATATATATATATAAAAAAATAAGGACAAGAAAACTGGAAATGACCTCCCATTTTGAATGTGCTATGAAGACAATGAATTATAAATGTGCAGATATTGCTGTTTAGATCCATAGAGATCTGTGCAGATCAGTTTAGCAGCAGGTAAATACTGACCATCTGGCTGCTTCTCAAACCCAGCACACATAGTCCTTAATAGGGGTATTAACACTGTGTGTGTAGGGGTAGGGGTATTAAGGACTATGTGTGCTGGGGTAGGGGTATTAACACTGTAGGGGTAGAGGTATTATTGACATTAGGTAGGGGTATTAATAACATGGGGTATAAGGGACTAGGGGTATTAAGGGGTGGGTGTATTAAGTGCCCCAAGTCCTTCACTTACCTTTTGTGAGATGGACTTTCTAAGGGTTCTTCAATAGCTCCAGTAGAGCGGTGACCGGTCCAAGATGGCAGCCGCATTCCTCGCCACTCAGCACACAATGCCATAGACGTGTGGCGTCTACGTGTTCTATGTCTACGGGTAATAGTGCTTGGCAAAATACATATGACAGCCATGCTGTGCTTATGGTGATAAAATAACGTTTGAAATTAGAAAGCAGGTTGATGTTTCGTTAAGGATATCCATATATCTTTCTAGAGGTCATATGAAAAATAAATTTGGTAATTATAAGGAAATGTAGACAGGGCTACAAAATTTCATCAACAAAATAGAATATATGGCTTACATAGTATTGTTGTGGTTATACAGTGGTGGAGGCTGCTGATGTGTATGATAGCTAGCAGTGACATTCCAGAAAGGGTCACAGCTGTCCAAATCTCAACAGTGACACAATAAAAAATTGCACAAATAGCATTCTATTGATTTCTGTTGAGTCACACAGACAAGATACAGGCAAGATACACAGGGCCAATTTTGATAGCTGTAATAATCAATCCACTAACCTGTGCAGTCTTTATGTTAACAAACAACAATTACTAATTTACATTTGTTTGATCTTCTATGGCTCAGGTTCTTCTTACTGTACACTGTAAAATAAAAAACATAAACAAATACTGTTACAAGTGTTTCTAGTACTTCTAGTGTACTTTGTAAAAGAGCTGGCTTTGAAGTTGTCATTATCAGTTGTTTGTCTTACATTTAGAGTGAAAATAAAGGAATGATGATCTCATTCTAACTAGGCACCATAAAATAGAAAAGGTTTGCTCCTTTTAAAAAGTATTACACACAACACAAGAAAATTCAATAAAAACACAGGCAGTTAAATTAGTTTTTTTTACCCTTACTTCAACAAGACACATGTCATATCAGTTTCTGTTTCAATTTTATTTTTTGAAGTGAAAATCTGATTTATCCCCTTCATGATTGAGTCTTTTTTGAAATTCCACATGTTTATGACAAAACCTTTTTACACGTTTGTGTTTGACCATAATTTAAAGGACCACTATAGTGCCAGGAAAACATACTAGTTTTCCTGGCACTAGTGCCCCCACCCTCAGGGACCACCTCCCGCCAGGCTCTGGGGTGAGGACGGGGTTAAACACTCACCTTCCTCCAGCGCCGGGCGGGAAGCTCTCCTCCTCCTCTCCGCCTCCTCTCCTCTTCTTCGGCTGAATGCGCATGCGTGGCAGGAGCTGCGTGCACATTCAGCCAGTCTCATAAGCATTCATTCATAATGCTTTCCTATGGACGCTTGCGTCTTCTCACTGTGATTTTCAAGAGACAGCCACTAGAGGCTGGATTAACCTATTTATAAACATAGCAGTTTCTCTGAAACTGCTATGATAAACATAGCAGTTTCTCTGAAACTGCTATGTTTATAAAAAAAAAGGGTTAACCCTAGCTGGACCTGGCACCCAGACCACTTCAATAAGCTAGATTGAAGTGGTCTGGATTGAAGTGGTCCTTTAACACTTCCTTGTTGAGTGCACCCATACATATTATATGAAAAATATATATATATATATATATATATATATATATATATAGAAAACACTTGTATATGCTTGCACTCCAGCTCCAAAGTCTTTTTACGGCCGAGTACACAACGCCTGAGCTCCAAATAATATAAATAGCAATGAAGTTGGCTGCACTCCGATCTTTTTTTGAAATCCAAAATTTTATTCAAATGAACGTTAAAAAGATCATCATTTCAGTCCCTCCTGGGACTTTCTTCAGGATCAAAACATACAATATATACCAGTTACAGCCTTCCAGAATATATACATGTAAATAGATTGATGAATAGACTCACCCTAGCTGCCATGCATCACCTCCAGCGTCCCACTGAGTCAACCTCAAATGTGGGAACGTGCTCTGCTCCCTAACGGCCGTGGTGACATAATGCCGTCTAATCTGTTTCCATATTGATGCCGCTATGTCACCATGGAGAAGGGTAAACACTTACCCAGATACCGGCAGAATACAGTGCTGTGTGAAAGTGCAATTAAGGTGAGAGATCATAGTCAAAACCATAGATTTAAGTGTTTAGTAAACGTGCAAAGGATGATAATATGTTATAAGATAATAAAAGCACCCATTTAGTGCAGAGACTCAACTTTCAAAGTGGGAAAAACATTTATAAAGGTGCCCCCCCACCAGTCATGCTCATTAAGTAACTTTATCACAAAACAATGAGCTGTTGTAATGAAAAAAAATATTAATATTTATAAAGAAATAACAAATTCAACAGCAGTGTGCATGAGGTGGAACAAGACAAGTTGGATGTAGAGGAACAGAAGTTAGTGAGGGCCTTGCTCAAATGTTCTAAGGGGATTGGGGTAAAATGACACATTCATGCAATGGAAAAGTAGGTTGCAAGAAGAGTTTACAATGAAGGCTTAATTTAGTAGATTACACAGTTGCAGGAGAGAAGTTGGGTTAGTATGGTGTAAGGAGGGAAAGCTGTTAACAGTTTAATTGATATGCCATCCTGAATAAGTGAGTTTTCAACAATTTTTTTAATAAGGAAGACTAGGTGAGGATCTAATAGAGCAGGAAAATTAGTTCTATAGGAAAAATACAGCCCTAGAGAAGGCTTAAAGGTGAGAGTCAGAGGTTCAAGTAGTAACAGAGGATAGACACAGGTCTGCGGCAGAGCGCAGAGGCTTGGAAGGAATATACTTAAAGGGACACTGTAGTCACTATAACCACTTTGTCTCTTTGAATTGGTTATAGTGCCTGGAGTGGCCTGGCACTGTCCCTCCATTCAGTGTTGCACCATGTTTGTGCAGTATGCCACAAAATAAGAGTCCCTGGCCACCACAGTCCGGCCCCTTCTGTATGTGTAGCTAAGGCAGAGATTACACACTTCCTTGTTGTCATACCCATTCATACCGTCAGTTGGAGCTCTGACAGGTTAAAAGCAATCAGCTGACACACTCAGCCAATCACAGCTGCCCATTGCCTCTCAGGTTAATACTTCCTTATTAACCAAAGCAGCACAGAGGGGATAGACTGCCGTGGGCTCTTGTTTAGCATTAAAACATTACAACATTAAAAACTGTTTAATGCTGAAAGAAATGATGGTACCAGGGGACTCCAGACACTATAACCATTTTAATGAGATGAAGCAGATACAGGGCCTACGGTGTC